GTGTCCGACTCCTGATTTTGGCTCAGGTCATGATCTTAGAGTCATTGAGATCAAGCCCCATGTCAAGCTCCATGCTGGGCATGGAACCTGCTTGAGATTCTTTCTCCCTCTCTCCCTCTAAAATAAATTTTTTTTAAATACCCACTGGATTTGCTAACATGGAAGTCACTGGTGACTTTGGCAAGGGCAGATTCCGTGGAGCAGTGAGGCAAAGTCTGACTGACATGGGTTTAAAAGAGACGGCAGGAAGACTCCCTGTCTTCTGCCCACAAAAGGTAACTGCCATGGGGCACGCCCCTCTACTATAAACAATGGGAAAACAAAAGATATGAAACAACTCATGAGATACTGATGACAGGCAGCATAGGACTGTCATCCTTGACAGAGGGGCAACAAAGGACGTGAGCTCAAGGACTGCCCTGGATTTCTGTCAAGAGGCAATTTCTGGACATAGCACAAGAAAGGGAGCACAGGGCTCTTGCTGAAATGAAAACGTATGTCCATACGAAGATGTGCACAGAAATGTTCACAGCAGCTCTGGGTATAGTAGGCAAAAACTGGAAACAACCCAAATGTCCATCAGCAGGTGAACAGATAAACAATTATGGCATACGCATACAATGGCATACTATTCAGGAATGAAATGAGTTACTGATAAATGCAACATGGATAAATCTCCACGGATAAAACACAACATGGATGACTTGTGCTGAGAAAAACAAGCCAGGCAGAAAAGAAAATACAAAACCAGTCTATATAGAGAGATCAGTGGTTGTATGGGGCCAGAGAATGAAGTGAGGGGTGGGGGGAGAGTGGCAGGGGGCTGACTCGGAAGTGACCCAAGATAATTTTTTATAATAATGAAAATTTATCATGGTTATTACGATATTATATATTAGAGGTATATTCATTTGTCAAAACTCATGGAACTGTACTCTCAAAAATGGGTACACTGTATATATGTAAATTATACCTCACTAAGGTTTATTTAAAAAAAAAAAAACATTCTAGCCAGAGTCCTGCTTCCAGTAATGGTGAACTGGCTCATTTCAATGGTCTCTCTTACTAAGAAAACCGCAACAAAATATTGGGGGGCAGGGGGGAATGACTCCAAGATATTATAGTGGAGCAAAGCAGAGAATTACACAGTCCCAGTTAAGACTAAGAAAATCCAGAGAAGTGAGTGTGATGTTTCGGGTTCCCCACCCCACACAGTGAGTGTCTGCCAAGTCTAGAAGAGGCGAAAGAGAGGCAGAGCAGCTAAACAGACTGTCTGAGACTGACTCAATCCATGTTAAAAGTTTTTAAAAAGAGAGAACAGAACTGAAATCAATTTGCATAGAAAATTCGAGTTCTGTGGCAAAGGAGAGCAGAAGCATCAGAAGTGGCCGTAAATAAGGGAAATGGACTCAAGAAACAGTTTTAAACTTAATTTTTTTTTTTATTTAAAAAAAAATTTTTTTTTTTTAACATTTATTTATTTTTGAGACAGAGAGAGACAGAGCATGAACGGGGGAGGGGCAGAGAGAGAGGGAGACACAGAACCGGAAGCAGGCTCCAGGCTCTGAGCCATCAGCCTAGAGCCCGACGCGGGGCTCGAACTCACGGACCGTGAGATCGTGACCTGAGCTGAAGTCGGACGCCTAACCGACTGAGCCACCCAGGCGCCTCTAAACTTAATTTTTAAACAATTTTTTGAGTAGGACAAAACACACGTGGTACAAAGCCATGAACGTACAAAAGGACTATAGCACAAGCTCAATTTCCTCTCATCCCTGTTTCCCAGCCACTCAGCTCCCTTCCCAGACGCAATCACTCTTACCAGTTTCTTCCGTATTTTTCCACAGATATTTTATGCATATAAAATATATACAGAATAGATATTCTGGAGCTACTCTATGTATATCCACCTCAGCACCACTAATATTTGGGGCCAGATAATTCTTTGTTATCGGGGGCTATCCTGTGCACTGTAGGATATTAAACAGCATCCCTGGCCTCTATCTACCGGTCACCGGAAGCACCTCCAGTTGTGACAAACAAAAATGTCTCCAGACACTGCCCTCAGTTGAAAACCACTGATGCATACCCAAGCACACACACATGTATTTCCTCTCTATATTTTCCTACAAACTCATGCCATATATATGGGTTTTCATCTTTTTTTACCTTATAATAATTGCAGATCATCCATCAGTCATACAAAGATTTCAAATTTTATTTATATCTAGCTGCCAACAAGTGAGGCTATTTATAATATTCATTATCTTAAGAGCATTCTTTTTTTTTTTTTTTTTTTTTTTTTTTTTTTTTTTTAATCTGGGGAGAAAGCACATTATTGCCTTTGATTTCATTAATGACACTTAGGAACAGTCTCAGTAATGAGCCCAAATCTATCCACCTGAAAAGTAACACACTTTCTTGGTGGCACTATATTCTAATTACTAAAAGTAATCAAGAGGAAATATTCTACTATGGAGTTCTATCTCTACAAATAACAACAATCATAAAGATTATAGCAGCTAATACTTATTGAGTACTTACTATAGGTTAGGCAGTGTTCAACGTGCTTTAGTTATATTAATATAACTAATTCTCACAACAACCTTCTGAGGATGGTACTATTATCTGCATTTCACCAAAAAGGAAACCAAGGTACAGAGATGTTCAGTAATGTACTCAAGGTCAAGGTCAAGGTCACACAAGTAGAGCTGTCAATCTGGGCCCATGGTTTAGTGTTCATCTCTAAACCATGACACTCTATTACTCTTCAGTCAAAACCTGCAAGTCTTAGATGATGATGTTTACATTCATATCTGTGGTTCTACTGATTTCAACTAAAATCCTGAATTTTGTTTATAATTAGTAAGGGTTAAATGTCCTTGAGATTTACTACTGCATATATCCCGCATTTCCTGATACCAGTCCAGTTGGTGTTTTCACAAAACATTTTCCTTATGTTTTTCTCTGGCTAACAAACTGGCATCTTTTTTATTAGGACCATATATCTTTTTATACAGAACTATTAGGATAGTTCTGATAGTTATCCCATGGATAAGAAAACTGTCCAAGTTATAGATTCTAACAAGGAATTAGGGAAAACACAAACACAGCACCTTTCCCTTCATGCTTTTGGGCTCAGTCCTATAAGCAGTACTGCAATAAATCTTCCCAGAGTTGAATTTGCCCTATAATTTTACCAATTACCAGCATATCCTCTAGCTAACTCTTAAGCAGAGACTGTCTCATACATCTACATATCCTCAAGTCTAACTCAGTACACAGCTCAATAAATGTTTGAACTTGGTTGATTTTTAATTCCACAAAGTTTTTCCTCTTCCAATTTAACAAACATCTTTTGACAGTTCAGTGTATGCCAAACATAATGACAGGGAACAGAAAGAAATTCCTTACACAAATGTTTGCAGAATATAACTCATCATCATCAACAACAACAAAACAATTCAGAAAGGGGCAAAGGAATTGAAGAATTGAAGACGTGTTTCCAAAGAAGACATAAAAACAGACAAGTATATGAAAAGATGTCAGACATGACTAATCACTAGAGAAATGCAAATCAAAAGCCTATGAGATATCCCCTCACACCCATCAGGATGTCTCCTATCAAAAAAACCAAAAAACCTAGAAAATAACCAGTGTTGGCAAGCATATGGAGAAACTGGAAGTCATGTGTGCTGTTGTGAATGTAAAATGGTGTAGCCATTACGGAAAATACTGTGGCAGTTCTTCAAAAACTTAGAATTGCCATGAGACGACCCAAGTGTCCACTGATGGATGAATGAATGATAAGCAAAATGTGTATGTACATTTTGTATGTACATACAATGTACATACATACATACAAAATATGTACATACAATGAAACACTACTGAGCCTTAAAAGGAAGGAATGATACAAAACCGAATGCCTGGAAATGGTATAACATGGACATTCTGTTCAGTGAAATGATCTGGACACAGAAGGACAGATACCTTATCATCCCACTTATATGAGGTACCTAGAGTAGTCAAATTCAGAGACAGAAAGTAGAATGGTGGCTACCAAGGGCTTGAGAGAGAGAAGAATGGGGAGTAAGTATTGAAATGGGGACACCGTTTCAGTTTTACGAGATGAAGTGTTTTACGGATAGATGGTGTGATGGTTGCACAACAGTATGAATGTACCTAATGTCCCTGATCTGTACACTTAAAAACGGTTAAATGGTTAATTTTCTTATGTGTATTTTACCACTATTCTTTTAAAAAAACTGTTTGCCAAAGACTAACAGTCTAGATTTCTTCAAGAATTAGCTGACATCATGTCCTTGCTTTCCAAATAGCCACGTGACAAAAAAAACTTCCTTTAAACTCTAAAATTAGACCAAAGGCCCAAAAGTCTGAGGACTATACCATCCATGTCCCCTTAACAGTACTATTTTTTTGTTAATATGGAATGCCCAATATTCAACTGTTTCATTTCCAGTTCCTATACCTTAGGTATACAATTTCTAGTACTGAGCCCCTTGTAACAAATTTTACTTTACCTGAGTATTTTGAATCTCTTATATACATTCAAAGGTAAAACAAATTTCACTAAGTAGTATCAACACAAAAAAGGCTTTTCTACTAAGCCTTTGCTGGCTGCTGGTTTGTGGTCCCACTTGATATTTCTTGCTTTGTATACGTATTTGTTTTTGCTTTATATTTTAAAAACATGTTTTTAGTCACACTCAAGGATCCCCAGAAAGGTCACTTTACTATTTGAGATTGTGAACTGAACAGATTTATCTTGCCATTCTCAAACTGTTACTGGGAAAAAGTGTTTGCTTTTGATGGGGAGAGCACCATTAAAATGTAAACAGAAATGCCTATCTGTAATAACTTCAGTCAATTAACTTTCAGATATATAATGCTTATAGTAAAAAGAGTTGGTAAAAAAATTTAAACTGAGACGTGTCTTCTATAGATCAAATGGACAACAAAGCAAAGGTTTCCCCTACCTGCTGTTTCTTGCCCATGGCAAGTGTTCAGCTCAGCCAGAAGCTGGTTAAAATCATCCTGATGAGCAATCCAGTTATCCTGAAAATACCCAAAAAATCAAATAAAGGTAAGCTTACAGTTTACTTGCACCAGTTGAGATAGATTTATTTTGGAATCAAGGAAATCTAGTGGTTAATGTGAAACTTTAAATGTTTCATCAAAATATTATGACATAAATTTGAATGAACAAATAACATAAATTTAAAATATAATTTATCTGTGTCAGTATTAAAAATGGGCTTATTTGAAGCCTGAGTCCTGATTTCAAATGTGGATAACTTATCAACAGTCCACTTATAATCAAATAATCAAAAGGCAACCTGCATGCTAAATATTAAAATAAAGCAAAATAAAATCATTACCTCATTATGGAAATATTATGTGGGTCAAAGGAAAAAAGCAGTGACAGAGTTCAGGGCTCTCTTTTGTGCTCATGTGAACTTAAAATACTTTGCCCAATTCTACATGCTTGCATTGACCCCCAATTTACAAAACCACACTGAGGAAGGAGTAAGAAAGACTCCAATTTCCCTCAGTCGGCACCTTCATGAAGTGGTGCTAATATATTCATTGTAGCAAAAATAATCTGACTTTAAAAGGGAATGGGCATCTCCGAAACAATCTAACCAGTGGGAAGCAAGTATCAATGCAGAAATTTGCCTTATACACACTTTTTTAAGAATGCTGAAGGTTAAGGCATGTTAAAAATAGGTTTACTGGGGCGCCTGGGTGGTTCAGTCGGTTAAGCGTCCGACTTCAGCTCAGGTCACGATCTCGTGGTCCGCGAGTTCGAGCCCCGCGTCGGGCTCTGGGCTGATGGCTCAGAGCCTGCAGCCTGCATCCGATTCTGTGTCTCCCTCTCTCTCTGCCCCTCCCCCGTTCATGCTATGTCTCTCTCTGTCTCAAAACTAAATAAATGTTAAAAAAAAAAATTTTTTTTAAATAAAAATAAAAAAAAAATAAAAATAGGTTTACTGGGCAACGCTTCTCCTAAAAATTAAGTTTATCTATACATCCATCTTTTAACAACTACCTTCAAAACCAACCTCATATAAACTCTTTAGTGGTTTAAAATTTTAGCTGTTAGCCTGAAAAATTTTAGCTGCTCTAGTCTATCACTCAGCGCAATTACTATTTCTAGTCCATTACTCAGTGTATCAAATCAAAATAATTTGGTGTAGTTCTCCAAAATAATAAGTAGTTCTCCAGATTTCCTATCAGATTCTGTTGGCTGTAAAAATTTAAGAACAAAGTTTTCAGCTCAGACACTATAGTAATACTGAATACTTATACACTTATATATACTTGTACACTTAAAACATAGACACTATAGTAATACTGAAAAAGAAAAGCACAATAGGCCATTAATTTTTAATTACGGTGTTATATTTTCAAAGCACCAGTATTTAAGGAGAAACATGAATAAATTCAACTGCTATATACCAATAGTCGGAAACAGACAAAAGGGAGGCGCCTGGTTGGCTCAGTCAGTTAAATGTTCGACTTGGGCTCAAGTCATGATCTCACAGTTTGTGGGTTCGAGTCCGGCATGGGGCTCTGTGCTGACAGCTCACAGCCTGTAGCCTGCTTCGGACACTGTCTCTCCCTGTCTCTCTGCCCCTCTTCTGCCCACACTTGGTCTCTCTCAAAAATAAAAAAATGTTAAAAAATGAAATTAAAAATTAGACAAAAGGACAGGAAAAGGTCACCACTTTCTTGCAGAAAAAACTTAATTTCTCTCCGAAGTTAAATGCCACTAACTTTTAATAGTATAAGCAAATATTAGAAAAAAGATAAAGATAAAAATTCCTTTCTATACTGAAATGAATATTTCTATAAAAAGAATATTTTTTTCAAAGTTTAGGAACAAAACTAATTCAGATCTCTTAGACATAATCAAGTAAAGAATCCCATAAGGACAACAAGGCAAGGTGAAGGCATGGTGTGTGGCGAAAAGCCTGCTTAGTTATGGGCTCTTTAGTCAACCACAGCATGGAAGATACACACGTGCATAGTTAAAACCTCATCAATTTGATGAAATATGTGTATTTACAAAAAAAGCCAATCATGCCAGGAAAACCCCCAGCAAACACACTGTTGCTCACTTCATTATTGATTGTAGCTCCAAGTCCCAGGTGGTTATTTTTAACTTGAACTTTAATATGATCTGTGGCTCCTTGCTCCTGAGCCCCTAAACCCTGTGGAGGTCAAGCACAAAGAGAGTTAGTATTTTTATCAAGTATAAAGAGAGATCACATCTTTCTTCCTTCATCAACTATTCGACTAATTATGAAATATCCAGGAGTGAGGCACTATCCTTATCCTCAGAGAGGACACAGTCTAATGGATTCTTACAGAGTATGTCTGTAACACCAAGGATGCACTTACAATAATGAATGCTAACTCTTCAACCTGAGACCTATTTCACGGCCCATGTACACACTATGCAGAACATGCCTTTTGTGATGCTCGAAATCAGAGTACTATTACCAAACTAATGGAATCCCATTGGAGATATTACAAATCTATGGCTCTCTCCATTACATAATTTTACAAAACAACACTGAGAGAGTGGAGAAAGGAGACCCCAAGTCCCTAAATCAATCAACACTCATTTGTAAGGTGTCTCAGAGAGGCTGCTGTACTGAAGAAACTAAAAGGCAACCAGGGTGGCTCTAGGTGAGTGGACAGAGAGAAAATAAGATAAAATAAAGGGGCTAGACATCACAGGACCCTAGAAATTACAGTAGAAATTTGGATTTAATTTTTTAAAACAATGGGAAGCCACTGAACTTTTAAGCAAGGGAATGCCATGATCTAATTTCTGTATTTCAAAAGATATTCTGGCTATTGTTTGGCAAACGGCCCAGAGGAAGAAAAGGAGGGAGGGAAGCAGCTGAGAGGGCAGGCAGTGATGGTGTGTGGACCAGGATGGGGCCCCGGGTAGAGAGGAATAATGACTGGCGATGCGAGAAGTGAGAGAGGTAGAGGAACCAAGCAAGACCATTTACAAAAATGGGGAAAACTTGAGACGGAAAAGACTGGAAGGTGGGTATCAAGAATTTTATAACAAAAATTATAAAGTTGAGATGCTCACTCAAGTAGAAATGTCAAGCAGGCTGGTGAATTTACAAACCTGAAGCTCAGAGGACAGATCTGGACCAGATAATTCTCAGAACTTAGACCATTCAAAGTATGGTATGGAATCAAAGAGCTCACCTTTCAGAATACAGAAAAGGCCTGGGGCTGAGGAGCTCCAGAGCTCAAAAGGCTGGAAGAGGAAGAGCCAGCAACATACTTAGGAATGGCCAATGCGGTAGAAGGAAAAACAGGGGGGAGAGCAGTACTGTGGAAGCCAAGACACAAGTATTGCAAGAATAGTCCAGTATGTCCAATGCTGCTAAGGGATTAAGTAACGTGAGAATAAAAAAGGATCCACTGGATTGGGAACAAGATCATTAAAGGCCATCACAAGAACCATTTAAATACAAAAGTATCACCAGAAACCCATTTCAGCCAGGAATAAATAGTGTGAGGAAAATGGGAAAATGTATATTCTGAGCTATAAAGGGGAACAAAATATTACTCTTAGCAATATAAAAACACTGATGGTTAAGTATGATTCCAAGTGCAGCTAATTAAAAGGCACAATCTATGAAAGATGCTAATCACAGCAATTTAAATGATAAACGAAGAGAACTGACCTTTATGTTCAATTCTAATTTTATCATGACAATTTAATTATGTCTCCAAAATCACTTACTGATCAAAAACACAAATTTCTCCCAGTGTCCTAAGAAAGATGCATTCTCCTGATTTGCCTTTATGCATGGCTCCAATTTCTTTTGCTCTTCTCCAACATACCTTTCCTTTAGACCACCCCATCTTCTCTAGCATCCTCTGGCCAAACTTGGAATCATCATTGCTCCAGGCAGTGTTTCTCGGATCCACAGCCCACTTCTGCTTCCGCCGACCTGCAAATGACAAAGTATCTCATCAGCAATTTATCTTTTAAACCTGGAAAACACTACACAAATACACACAAAACCTAATACGTACACACATATTTGCATAAAATACGACAAACAATATGTTTTATTAGATACAGATATCACATTCAGCATTCAATGAAATATCATCAGATTGGATCACTTACCCTGGTTTTCCCAGTAACTGCTGTATTCTCAATATACAAACTGGCCTAAGATAAAAATAACAGTGTTCCCTCCAAATGTGACAGATAGAAATACATGATATACCATCAGTTGGCCTTCCACACTCAGCTAAAGGCAGCAACTTTAGTAAGCACTTGTCAACACCAGTGTCATCATCACCACCAGCAGCATCAGCCACTACAGCTACCGGTGCCATATGTTATGTACCAAATGTTATCCATATATTGTATTCGATTTGCACAGTAACCCAATGAGGATGGAAATTCTTACCTCCATTTTTCAGATGAGGAAATCTGAGGCTTAGAGAAAGAAATGTACCTAATGCCCCCAAACAAATACCAGAGCCTCTATACAAAGCAAGGGTCTACTGACATCAAAGCTTATATTCTTAATCCACAATATGTAACGGTCATTATGATCTTGGGGAGAGTCAACTGTACCCTCCACACATGTGATCTACACATAGTTATGATGTCATCCCTTATTACTGAAATGCCCTAGAGACACATGACCCCTTCTCTGAACTTCCAAAATAAACTATCTGCATCTTTTCTGGCACTGAACACACAGTCTTCTGTATTATGACTACTAATATCCTTCTCTTATGTTTCCTATGAGACCATCATCTCCTTACAGCTTACATTTGTGTGCTATTCTTTTCCATGCTTCATTGCAAGAAGTAGAAAACACTATGCCCACAGCAGGCACTCAGGAAATATGTGAATGAATGTATGAGTGAATTCAAAAGAAAGAAGGAAGAAAAAAGGAGACAAGAGGAAAGGAACGAAGGAAGGAAAGAACATAATTAAGGGAACTGCTTTGAATCTCTTCGTATTAAGTATTTTTTAATGCATACAGATAATTGACCATTGGGAACTCAAATTTATCAGTATAGTTTTGTGGAAAATTGCTGCAGAGATACAGAACCTCAAAAAGTTCACAGAACAAGAACACGAAGCCCTAAAGTAAATTGTGGCCAATTGAGAAATTTGGAGGTCAAGTGTGCTTATTATTCACCTACTGCAGCAATCAAAGCACAGTATCTCACTATCAACAACAGCCTTATGCTTGGCAGTCTCTTAACTCCCTGCGTCCCCTCCTCCTTCAAGGAAGGCAGAGTGTCACATGCTGCACCTCATTTGGACGTGTCTAGAGTCTTGGAAGCTTGATTACCCTACGTTCTACAAACAGACCTTGGGTTGAAGGTTCTAGAAGGGGAGCACAGCTACTAGTATACCCTTGACAGAAGAACAGTCCTCCTCTCTCTCTTTTCTAAAGGGAAGGTCGCCCTCTTCAACCTATTGTGCAGCTTCGGGAGGGACACACATAGAGCAGTGGGGAAGGGGACACCCGCCTAACCAGCCAGGTCAGCCAAATCGACCCTGGCAATCAATGCGGTGACAGATGTCACAGCCAGATCACCCTCACATCTTCACAACATAATTTAAAAATAATACAACCTCCAGCGAGAGGCTTACTGTATAACATGTAAAATCAATAAAGGGACCCAAAACTACACACATCCAAACAAAAGTAAACTTTTTACAAGCATGCAGAAAAAGCAAAACAAGTTGGGCTCAAATCTACAGTTTTGCAAGAAAAAGGTGACCCCAAAATGTTAACCATGACTAAGTTACCACTTTACCTATATTAGTAAATACAGAGAATAACATTGCCTCTGCTAATGAACAACATACCAGATATGAGCTTTCTTAGCCATGTTCTCTTTGTAAGGCTGCTTACTGGTATGTGTCAGCGTTCATGTCTCTCCACAGCGGTGCCTGCCAGGGATTCTAACTGGGGCTTATATGAAAAAGACATTTCTGAGAATGAATGAACCCACCTTATGCAATAAGAACTCCAACACTTTATGTTACATACACATACACAGCAGACTGTAATAATACTTATACAAAAGATCACCAAGGTCAGTTCCTCTTCCTTGCAGAAACGTCAGGTATCCTCAAATAAACGGGTAGGGCAGGGTTTCCCCAGTGAGAATGTTAAATCAGGGGAGCTTCCCATTAAAATAAAATAGAGCAACACTGTGTGAAACAAAATTTAATAGTGTTCCATATTAGAGACTTTCCCAGAACATTTCATATGCAGATGTGTAGATCCTCTAAGGGCAAAGCAGGCATGCTATGTTTCCCAAATTTATTTGATCCGAACCCTACTTCACTGGAAGGCTTTTCGGGCTCTAGTGCTGTAGAATTTCCAGGTTTGGGAAATCCTGGCAAGGAAAAGACTGTCACTAGTCTGTTCAGATTGGATCAACTTTTACATGTGCTTTGTTATTCTTATTCCACATTCTGCGCTTAGATGTCAACTTTGTTAACCCTGTGTGCAGAAGAGAACATAGCAGGCCTCACTACTAACCTTCGAAAGGCTTGCTTACGAGGTTGGCACCTTGGCTGGGAACCTGGCTTTCAGGAGGGTTCCAAGCATTCTCGGAATTGGTGAGTGGCTCACTACGCCTAATTGTTAATACAAACAATATGGTTTATACTGAATACTTGGCTTTCCTTCTGGGAGTCTGGAGCACTGGCCTCAGGGTTGAGTACCCTGAATCTGCAGAATCACTATTTAGGATGATGTGTTCTGCCATCCGCTAGCCAGACTCCTCCTATTTGGAGTTCTAACTTTAGATGGTTCCATCAAGACATTTTAGGGGTAACCCCAATAAATAACCCTTTTCTTTTTTTTTTTTCTGTTGAAGCAAAGTTTAATAGCATTTTTTTTAATTAATTTTTTTTTTTAACGTTTATTTATTTTTGAGATAGAGAGAGAGACAGAGCATGAATGGGGGAGGGTCAGAGAGAGGGAGACACAGAATCCGAAACAGGCTCCAGGCTCTGAGCTGTCAGCACAGAGCCCGACGCAGGGCTCGAACTCATGGACTGTGAGATCATGACCTAAGCCGAAGTCGGCCGCCCAACCGACTGACGCATCCAGGCGCCCCTTAATAGCATTTTTAATAGAGAAATTATAAAAATAATTTATAATCAAGTATATAAATCATTTTTTGCTATATTTTTTACCTAGGTCACATTAGAAAGCCTTATTTGACTCTAGATTATATAAATATCCAACTATATTTTCCAACTATTTAATCCTTAAGTATTTTTGTTGAGATATAATTCACAAACCATAAAATTCACCCATTTAAAGTGTAGTATTCATTGGTTTTTAGTGTATTCATGGAGTAGTACCATCACCATTACCTACTTAAAGAATATTTTCATCACCCCAAAATAATTATATTTAAATATGATTAAATATAATTAATTTTGAATTAATTTTTATATACATGCTAAATAAGAGTACAACTTCATTCTTTTGCTTGTGAACATCCAGTTGCTTGAGCACCGTTCTTTGAAAAAACTATTCCTTCCCCATTGAATTGTCTTGGCACTCTTGAAAATCAATGGAGTATAAATATAACGGTTTATTTTTAGACTCTCAATTCTATTCACTTTTCAATTACTCCATGCCTAATACCACATGACTTATGCCAGGATTCAGCTTACTCTGAAAGGTGTGTTGAGTCCCAAAAGCCAGGGACAGAAGTTTTGTCTTTTTTTTCTTTTTCAAAGGACACTTTTAGATATTCAAGAGCTCAAAATATACCATCCATGTACCATGTATTCCTATTAAAAAATTATTCAAGACATAGTCAAAGTTAAAGAAACTGCAGTATAAAAATCTTAATGCGATGAGCACTAAAATCCATTAACTATAGTGTGATTTGACTATAAATATGACTAGAAGTGTCAAAAATTGTCTTGAAAAGGAAAGAATCTAAGAAAAGAGTAATATCTTGATAAAAATCCAGGTCTAAAACTTCAAATGATATAAAGACTAGGAAGTGAGATCAATAAATTAAATTCTTGTCTTACATAGGGGGAAGTTTCGGTAAGCTAGATTTTTTGTCTTACACAAAGGAGACCCAATAAAACAACACTTGATAATTACAGAAATAATAAATAAAAAATATATTTGAGAAACACAAAGAAAACTACTAGATTTTAAAAATAGGGTAAGTGCCTATAGCAAAAATAAAACAAAATATAGTACATATGGCAAGGGAAAACAGAGGAAATAGCATGTGCTTAATGAATTGAAAATGTTCACTAATGTTAAGTGGGGGAAAAACCAAAACTGTACCTACAGAATTAAGAATCACCCCAATTTTATAAACTAACAGAAAATAGAATTGCTAGGCAGTGAAATTATGAGTATGGGGCTTTTTTTTTGCTTCTATTTTCTTACTTCTAAAATGAGAACATCAGTCCTAAATATCTAATCACAAAAGATGCCACAAACTATACTTAGCAAGTTATTTTAAAAGATAACACAAAATACAATATTATGCCAAGATTTGGAAATTTGGGGTGCCTGGGTGGCTCAATCAGTTAAGCATCTCACTTCAGCTCAGGTCATGATCTCGCAGTTCTTGGGTTTGAGCGCTGGGGTATGTGCTGACAGCTCAGAGCCTGAGCCTGCTGGGATTCTGTGTCTCCCTCTCTCTCTGGCCCTCCCCCGCTCACAACTCTTGTCTCAAAAATAAATAAGCATTAAAAAAAACAAAAGAGGGGCGCCTGGGTGGCTCAGTCGGTTAAGCAGCCGACTTCGGCTCAGGTCATGATCTCACGGTCCGTGAGTTCGAGCCCTGCGTCGGGCTCTGTGCTGACAGCTCAGAGCCTGGAGCCTGTTTCAGATTCTGTGTCTCCCTCTCTCTGACCCTCCCCCATTCATGCTCTGTCTCTCTCTGTCTCAAAAATAATAATAATTAAAAAAATACGTTAAAAAAAAAAGATTTGAAAATTTGGAGTCATGGGGAGAGAAGAACTCAAAATACTCCCTTGTAATCATGCAACTTGAATTACTGATGTCTACAGACACTATTTCATGCATCTACAGCAAGCATTTCATACTTTGAAATATTTTCACATTCACCACTTCATTGATTTTTTTTTAAGCCAAACTAGTAACGAAGATAATAAAAGTAGTTTGTAATAGTCCCACAGAAACTGATCATGGAAAGAGACATAAATGAACAGCAGAGCCAGGGCCAACGTGCATGCTGTATTAAGCATACATCAGAAAATATTAAAACCAGAAAAGATCTTAGCAGCCCTAGTTTTACAAACGAAGAAACAGCCCACAGAGTCACAGTCTAGAACATATTCTTTTCTGTAAGTCCGTATTTAAAAACAATAGAAAACTGCTGGTCCTAGTGACAAAAAAGTTAAGATACGAGATAACTAGATCAAATTTGTCACTTTCTGGCTCAGTGACTCGGGGCAAATTATTTTCCTCTGCACCTCGATTTCATCCCCTGTAAAACTGGAACTCCCTGTAAAACTCTTTACTCCTTGCGTTTTGTGCTCCCATTCTTCCACCTTCTTAGATAAGAGGATGCTGATAACATTTATTTCACAGACTCCTATGTGGTTGCTGTAGGTCTGTTCAAGCGGTTTCTGTTCATTGCTCACTATACACTTCCAAAAAGTTATGGGCCATCTTTTCATGGCCAAAGCACGACTGCCATCTGGTGGCAGGAAACCTTAGCTACAGATACCGCTCAGAAGTCAAATAGCCTCTCCAGAGGGAGGGAATTGATGAACTTCACAAAGTGGTGATGTCAGAAGCAAACTGAAGCAGGACGCGGCGTTACAGCCACCACTCCTGTCACACAAGAATGTTAACATTTCCAACTAAGCCCAACTAAGCCAGCCTTACTTAGAATCACTCATTAGCCCTGCATCCCCTAAAAAAGGCTAACTTCCTGCGTTTGACGCTTTTAACCCCTTTGCTTTTCTTTTTCTGGGTTCAATAAACCTTCGAGAACGGGATTTCACTGCCTGAAGAGATTCTGCTGGCCCAGCCGTCTCTTTTTAACCAGAAGAAGCTGAGGGCCGGCGAAGTGAAAGACCAAGTCAGGGTTCCTACGATCGGCGTTCTGGCTCCCATTCGAGCCCACCGCGCGCGTGCCCAGATCTGAGTTTGAGGACAAAGTCCCACGTGGACACTGGCAGTCTCTTTCACTAACCGACCAGTAGCTAACCTGGGGAAGGCTGCGCTGGGAAATCTCTGCGGCAGGCAGGGCGAGCCGAACCGGGGTTACCCAGTCCCCTGGCATCCCCCGCCCCGCTGCGCGCCGGAGACCCGCACCCCGCACCACTTGGTCTGGCCAGGCGCGTCACCTGGAAACTTCACCCTCGCTCCCTCCACTCACGCTCAGCCAGCATTGACATGTCGAGAGCCTGTGACGCCACGAGCCTCCGGACCTGAGAGGTGGCGGCGACCAAGCAGCCGGCTCGCGGAGAAGTTGCAACCACCAGACTCGCAAACCAGGTGGACTGCAGCGGCCGAGGCGCGTGCTGGTGACGTCAGTGGGCCGCGACCGGCCCTCAACCACGTGGCGGCGAGTGGGCGGGACGCGGGCCTTCTGGGGGAGGGGAGGGGCGGGCCGGGGAGAGTATATTCCGGAAGGTGCGGGCTTGCAGACACCCAGGGGGAGAGGTCAGAGGTCTCCGGGTCTAAAGCAGGTGGAGGGAAGGGTGTGGGTTTATTCGCATGAGCAAGTTCCTGAACTAAATGATTGCCTACGTGTAAACGCTTCTAAAAGCGTCTGCCACAGAGCAAGCGCTCAATAGGGTTACCTGTGTCACTCTCAATATTAACTAAATGCCAAGAGTGGTGGTTTCTGGAAGTAAAACATGAACTCTGCCCTCCGCTCAGAATCTCCTGAGGAAAAGAAACATGTAAACAATAGTTCTTAGGGCCGCCAGTATTATTAAAACGGTGTGTATGAGGAGTTTGACAAACTCACCTGGAGGGGAGGACTTTGCAGTATGGTGTCCCACCTCAGCCCTCTGAGGTAGATAGGTAAGTAGACACATAACTACGAATCTATCTGTGGGATCCCAAGTTAATAAGATAACTAAACGTGGCTAAAATGTTGTCTGTCTTTAACATGATGTCTTCAACAAGACTAATAGTTTTTTTCAATATATAATCCTCATAGAGATGTCATAGACGCAAGAAATGGTGGAGTTGAAACAAACCATGGAAACCATTAGTCTATCCTGCATTCCTCCAAATGCAGTCCCTTTTATAGGATTCCTTTTTTGGTCTCTGACTGAACATCTCCAGGAAAGGCAGCTCACCAAATCACAAGGCACAACCATTCCTTACTATTCACTGCCACACTCAACAATCCGAGTTTAGTTTTGACCTAGACCACACCAGCAGTGATGCAAACTTCTGTCTCAATGTTTCTGACCATCAAAGAGACAATTATCTTCCTGCAATCGTATACCAACGTATGTGGTGCTTGAAAATGCTGACTTCCTGATCAATTCACTATTGTCCACTCTCATGTAACTACCTTCTATCTTCTCCTATCTTATCAAACAGATCAGCTAATTATCCAAAGACTTGGGTGATTCTGCCTTTCTCATTTGGAGCAAGTCCAACTCCCTACTTTACTCCTGTTTTCTGCGTCACAACTTATGTGCTCCCTGACCTAGTTATAAAAGTTACATTGATTTTGCCTCTCCTCTTTCCCCTCAGTTCCTGGGTATTCACTGCTAGCAGCAACTATTCTTTTGTATTTCTTTTTTCTAATGTTTATGAAACTAGGTAAGTTTACCTTGATGGTCTAGACCCCTAGTTAAAGGGAAACTTCATCTAGAACAGGAATCTAGTCCTTCATACAGCTTCTCTTGGCACCTAGGGTGCTCTCTTTATGTTCTACTCATGAGAAGAAAGCCTTCTATCTATATAGTCACCTGAAATTTGTGGAGTCACATGTCCCTCCTCTCTGTCTGACAGTCTCCTTGCCAGAATTTCATTAGAACTCCCCTGGAGACTGAGACACTTCAGTTAGAATTCACAAAACAGCCCCTACCGTACTCAAACTATTCTGCTAGGTGTCTATGTGCATACAGAGATGATTATGATAAAGGCCAAGTTCCAGAGTGCACGTTATAATGGGAAAAAACTATTGTTAAGTTTGGGCTTTAAAAAATGTATATAGAACCCTATGTGTATTTTTAAATTGTCAGTTGGGAGTGGATACTGTACTTTTAAGAACAAGGTGATTCAGGGGCACCTGGGTGGCTCATTCGGTTAAACGTCCAACTTCAGCTCAGATCATGATCTTGCAGTTCACAGTTCGAGCCCATGTCAGGCTCTGTGCTGACAGCTCAGAGCCTAGAGCCTGCTTTGGATTCTGTGTCTCCCTGTCTCTCTGCCCCTGCCCCAGTCATGCGCGCACTCTCTCTCAAAAATAAATAAAAACATTAAAAAATTTAAAAATAAATAAAAATAAGACACATCAGTATAAGACATTCAGTCTTATTCTTCAGTCTCTTTCTTGGCAGACCCTCTCAGAGCAGTGCTTCTCAACCTTTAATGTGCATGTGAATCATCTGAGGATCTTATTAAAATTCAGTTTCTCATTCAGCAGGTCTGGGATAGGACCAGAAATTCTGCGCTTCTAACAAGCTTCCAAGGATGTGGGTGCCTATGATCCACAGACCTTCCTTTGTGCAGCAGGCCATTAAACAACCAAAGGTATGAATGAACGCAGGGTTAAAATATACCTTTTTTTTTTTTTTTCTGTTCAAGAAAAGTACTTTGCGAAGAATACCTTTAGGTAACAAATGATTTCAATATACGAAAGAACTGAACCTAGAAGTTACTTGGATAAGTCATCTGACATAGTCCCCCACCTTCAGGCAAGCAAAGACCAATGTCAGAGATAGATGATTGCTACTTCTTTTCTTTAACTCTGGCAAATCTCAGTCAACACCCCACACACACACACACACACTCCACATACATACAATTACAAAAGCTAGTTACACATTCTGCACAATCACAAAAAGGAATTCTCATATGCTGTACTACATCTTTATATATCAGATGTATCACTAAAATTTTTATCTGTAAAAGAAATAGAACTGAATCTTGCCAGTTAAACTTAGCCCAGTCCTAAGAGGCACCAGGCTGATAACAATGGAGGAAGAAAAAAGCAGTCAGAAAATATTACAGAGCTTAAATTCTGCTACCAGCTTGGAGTGTGATCTTGAGAAAGTCATCTTGAAATCACCTCTTTTTATAACACTGATCCAATCTATGAAAAAAGAATTATCACTGAGATTATTTCCATCTGAAAGACTTTCAGAAAATTAATCAGAAAAGCATAAGTCAGTGATATGAACATTAAAGGGACTATAATATCATAATATTTGAGATCTAGGATTCTTTTTTTTTTTTTTTTGATGTTTATTTATTTTTGAGAGAGACAGAGACAGAATGCGAGTGGGTTAGGGGCAGAGAGAGAGGGAGACACAGAATCAGAAGCAGGCTCCAGGCTCTGAGCTGTCAGCACAGAGCCTGACACGGGGCTTGAACTCAAGCCGTGAGATCATGACCTGAGCCGAAGTCGGACGCTCAACCGACTGAGCCACCCAGGCACCCCAGAGAGCTAGGATTCTGAAGCCACACTTTCTGGGTTCAAATCTTAGCTCTCTCACTTACTAGCTTTGGTAACCTGCTTTGTATCTTGGGCAGATTACTTTACCTCCCTATTCCTCTATTAAGAGAAATAATGAGATGATACATGTCAAGTGCTTAGAAAGGCACCTGACGCATAGGAAACATTCAATATAATACTCAATAAGGCACTATTATAATTTTAAAGGAAATAGAGGTTAGGATGATTATTTCAACAAATATTTATTGTTTCAGAGATTGTGCTTGGTGCTGGAATTACAAAAGTGAACAAAACAGTCATGACCCCTACCCTCATTGAGTTTGCAAAGAAGAGAGACATTACCATAAATATAGAATTAGACCTGAAGGTAAATGTTGTGAAAGAGAAATACATGCGGCTAGGACAGAATATAAGAGGGGATTTAACTTAGGAAAATTAGAGAAAGCTTCCACAAGGAAGTGACAAATGAATTAAAACATGGACTATTCCAGGACTTGATGTGGCTAGAATTCAGAGCAAGGGAAAACAAGGCCACAAAATTGAATAAGGGGCCAGTTCTTACAAGGCATTGTGGGTCATACTAACGGTCAGGGTCTTTGTCACAAGAGCTATGGGAAGTCACTGAAGAATTTTTAAGTAGGGGAGTAACACACATTATAGCTTCTAAAAGTTCCCTATGGCCGTTGTATGGGCCGAACACATTGAAGGGAGAAAGGTATATATGGGAAGACTGATTTGGGAGTTGAGAGAGAGAAAGTTGTCAAGAATAATCTCAAAATTTCTACAACTGAAATGGTGGTATTTGGGAGTGAGGAATAAAATAACTCAGTTTTAGATATAAGATGATTGAGGTGTCTTTGAGTATGAACCTCATCAGTTAGACATAAGTGTCCAGAGCTCAGGGAACAGGTTGGGCTAGAGATAAAAATTGGGAATCATGCAAATGTAGATGTTAAAGGAAGCCATGGACCATAATGTGTGCACCCAGAAGGCACATGGAATGAGAATAGCAAAAGGCCAAGCTTTGAGGAAGTCTAAATTTAATAGCCAGAAGAGAATAACAAGACTCCTAGGAGAGATAGAAGGAGCTGCTGTAGAGGTAAGAGGAAAAGCAGGGGGGGAAATGTTTAAGGTAACGATGAAGTGATCAGCAATGTTGAAAGCAGCAAGAGATCAAGTATGAATACTGATGATTTTTATGAAGCAGTGAATCAATTTCAATGCTTCTGAAAGTCTCCTTTGGAGACTAGGTGATTAAAAAAATAAAAGAAGAGGAGATTTAGAGTTCTGCAAGCAAAAGAGAATCCTAAACAATCAAGGAATCTACATTTCTTTTCCCCAATTTCCCCTCCACACACACTAAAAAGAGAGCTACTGTTTGAAAGGGCACTTTGCTACACTGAGAGTAAGTGGCACTCTTGCACTATGCCTTAGCCAAGAGCCTGTCCATGAAATTAATAAACAAAAATAGTCTTCATCTACACAAGGCTTCTATGAGAAGAAAACAGAAAGTGGGAATTGAAACATTTCAATGGATGAAAATCTACCCCTGTAAAAACAACCAAAACCAGAAGAAAAGTATAGATAATACCCCATATCAAATTAATTACTTGGTGATGTGGAGGGGAAAAAACAACTCTGAATTGGAAATTCAGACTCACAGGAACAAAAAACAGAAAGAAATCAAATGAGAGTTGATTGTACACAGGAAAGAAATGGAAGTAAAAAGGCACAACCATATCAGAAGTGATGACAAGATTACAAGATGCCCAGAAGAAGCTATTCAAATTAAAA